TATCATATTTGCCACTTATCATAGCTTATTACCCACACCTGAGAGAGAGAGAGAGCTGTACTTTTTTTGTATCATATTTGCCACTTATCATAGCTTATTACCCACACCTGAGAGAGAGAGAGAGCTGTACTTTTTTTGTATCATATTTGCCACTTATCATAGCTTATTACCCACACCTGAGAGAGAGAGAGAGCTGTACTTTTTTTGTATCATATTTGCCACTTATCATAGCTTATCAGCCGTTTGAACGGTTTTATCCAGTGTTAATACAGGAGGAAACCGGGGACCAGAAACCTGTGATGTTTGATAGAGTCACACTGGATAACACCCTTCTCACGTGTGTTCGTGCCGAGGCTCGAACCCTTGACCACATTCGTGAGAGTTATGCGCGCTACCGCTGCACTGTGTGTAGTTTATATAGGAAACTAATTAAGAAAGACATAAAGAAAAGAGCTCAGAGTAATGTTAACAAGACGAGAAATAAAACGTAAAGCTAAATGCAAAAATAGTGTTAAGAAAGAAAACTGAGAAATGTCAAGGAGTGACTAAGCTGAAATAAATTTTGTCCTTGACACTATAATTTCGAAATAAAGAGTCAGATGTGGATGGTCACGTGACTGAGGGTTATTTGCGCGGGGTGTACAGTATATGAGGTCATATGATCCTATGTGTGTGTGTGTGTGTGTGTGTGTGTGTGTACCTCGACCTCCAAAACAATAATTGACACTATAAATAATGGTAGTACATGAACTATTTAAAACAACTCAAGACTATTCTGAAAAATAAATTCAGAGGCTTCAAACTCGCTCTGGAAGCCTTCGAGTTGATGAAGCACCTTGATACGTGAAGTAAAAAATATATATGCCAATCATAGTATTTCATAACATAACCTTAGGAAAAGATGGGAGAGAAGCTTGAAACGTCCCAAAACTGATTCGAAACAAGATTTCAGCTTTGAACCAGCCTATAAACTCTTTTTTGTATCTAATAAAAAAAGACTAACTCACACCTTTGTCGCTTTTATAAATCATTATTTCAAGACATAGTGTGAGTGATGCTTCGGACGTCTCGAGTTGTGATGGTTCAGATGAGTTTCCTGTTATAACTAAAGCAATTAAACTTCGCCTCTCAATTGCATACGCAGGGGACCGTCTCTTTCTGTTTGTCAGTCTTTCTCTCTCTCTGTCTCTCTGTCTGTCTGTCCATCTCATTGTTCGTCTGTCTTTTTGTCTATATATTTTTCTCTGTTTCTCTGTCTATCTGTCTGTATATGTCCGTCCGTCCGTCTCTGTCTGTGTCTCTCTATCTGTATGTCTGAGCATGCTACCGTTTCCTGCAGTGGCTGATTAAAGGAAAGAAAGAAGGCACCCAGTATCACTAATTGACTGCTGGAGAATAAAGTTTCAATCTGAATGAAATGAAAAAAAAAAATATGACCGACTGCAAAGAGGTCAAACTCAACTGAGAATCACCTGGTCCTAAACGAGGATGATGACTTGGAAGGTTGCGTACTTTGTGAGACTACCATAACTTGTCACTAGCGAGGATAAGTGGGAGGGAGGGGAGGAGGAAAGGAAATGAGGATAGGAAGAGTAGGAAGATAGGAAAGGCGAGAGGGAAGGGAGGGAGGGAGGGAGGGAAGGAAATGAGATGGGGAGGATAGAAAAGGAGGAAGGGAAGGAGGGGGGAAAGGAAATGAGGGTAGAAAGAGTAGGAAGATAGGAAAGGCGGAGGGAAGGGGGAAACGAAATGAGGGTAGGAAGATAGAGAGGATAGGAAAGGAGGAAGGGAGGGAGGAAAGGAAATGAGGGTAGGCAGAGTAGAAAGATAGGAAACGAGGAAAGGAAGCGAGGGGGGAAGGAAAGGAAATGAGGTTAAGCAGAGTAGGAAGAGAGGAAAGGAGGAAGGGAAGGTAAAGGGGGGAAGAGAAGGGGAGAGAGAAGAAAAGAACTGAGGGGGAGAAAATGAAGAAGAGGTAGGTGGATGGAAAAGAGAAGGAGAGAGAGAAGAGAAAGAAGCAGAGAGGAAAGAAATAGAAGGAAGGGGGATGAATGAATGAATGAAGGAAGGGAGGAAGGAAGGAAGAGAAAACCCAACCCCAGGAGTGTGATGAACTGCACTAATATAACAAGAGGATTAATTCCGTGTCACGTAGAGGTAATGAATGCCATTATGACCCCGCGTGTGTAATAATAATAATAATTAACGGTTTATTGAAAAAGTTCTGCAGCCCGAAGGCTGAAAATATACATTGGACATAAATGACTTACTACATACATAGGTGGTTTAACAAAAGTTTCATAAGAGAAAGGAAAAGGAACATACAATGAATATACAGATTAATGTTTACAGTGGAGGTCACGTAGATCATGTGCGCTGAGGTGTTGAACGGCAGACACGTAGTGTAGTAACTCCCTCACAGGTGGTGTTATGAGGGTCATCCCGTGATGTAGTAGTTCCCTCACAGGTGGTGTTATGAGAGGCTTGACGCGGTGTAGTAATTTCCTCACACATGGTGTTATGGGGGACCTGACGTGGTGTAGTAATTACCTCACAGATGGTGTTATGAGGGACCTCACGTGGTGTAGTAATTCCCTCACAGGTGGTGTTATGAGGGGCATCACGTGGTGTAGTAATTCCCTCACAGATGGTATTATGAGGGACCTCACGTGGTGCAGTAACTCCCTCACAGGTGGTGTTATGAGCGGTATCACGTGGTGTAGTAATTCCGTCACAGGTGGTGTTATGAGGGACCTCACGTGGTGTAGTAACTCCCTCACAGGTGGTGTTATGAGGGGCTTGAGGCGGTGTAGTAATTTCCTCACAGATGGTGTTAAGAGGGACCTCACGTGGTGTAGTAATTCCCTCACAGGTGGTGTTATGAGGGACCTCACGTGGTGTAGTAACTCCCTCACAGGTGGTGTTATGAGGGACCTCACGTGGTGTAGTAACTCCCTCACAGGTGGTGTTATGAGGGACCTCACGTGGTGTAGTAACTCCCTCACAGGTGGTGTTATGAGGGGCTTGAGGCGGTGTAGTAATTTCCTCACAGATGGTGTTAAGAGGGACCTCACGTGGTGTAGTAATTACCTCAAAGATGGTGTTATGAGGGGCATCACGTGGTGTAGTAATTCCCTCATAGATGGTGTTATGAGGGGCATCACGCGGTGTAGTAATTCCCTCATAGATGGTGTTATGAGGGCATCACATGGTAGTAATTCCTCACAGATGGTGTTATGAGGGGCATCACATGGTGTAGTAATTCCCTCAGGATGGTGTTATGAGGGCATCACATGGTGTAGTAATTCCCTCACAGATGGTGTTATGAGGGCATCACATGGTGATAGTAATTCCCATCACACAGATGGTGTGTTATGAGGGCATCACATGGTGATAGTAATTCACAGATGGTGTTATGAGGGCATCACATGGTGATAGTAATTCCCCCACAGATGGTGTTATGAGGGGCATCACATGGTGATAGTATTTCCCTCACAGATGGTGTTATGAGGGGCATCACATGGTGATAGTAATTCCCTCACAGATGGTGTTATGAGGGGCATCACATGGTGATAGTAATTCCCTCACAGATGGTGTTATGAGGGGCATCACATGGTGATAGTAATTCCCTCACAGATGGTGTTATGAGTGAGTATAACTGTGTATAACATAAGTGAGTATAACTGAGTATAACATTAGTGAGTATAACTGAGTATAACATTAGTGAGTATAACTGTGTATAACATTAGTGAGTATAACTGAGTATAACTGAGTATAACATTAGTGAGTATAACTGAGTATAACATTAGTGAGTATAACTGAGTATAACATTAGTGAGTATAACTGAGTATAACATTAGTGAGTATAACTGAGTATAACATTAGTGAGTATAACTGAGTATAACATTAGTGAGTATAACTGAGTATAACATTAGTGAGTATAACTGAGTATAACATTAGTGAGTATAACGCAGGTGAGCATGTTGCCATATGTGTAGTAAGGAGGATCCAGGTAGGCAACATACCTGTGGTCCACGACACCTGATATACCAAGATGCTGGTCCAACCTCTCACCACACGTCTCCTGCTCTCTCTCTCTCTCTCTCTCTCTCTCTCTCTCTCTCTTTATTTATATTTCTATGTATGCATGTATGTATGTATGTATGTATGTATGTATGTATGTATGTATGTATGTATGTATGTATGTATGTATGTATGTATGTATGTATGTATGTATGTATGTATGCATGTATGTATGTATCTCTGCCTCAACATACATACAGGTGCAGGAAGAGGACAGGTCTCAGGTCACTATGCAGCATAACAGGTGCAGGAAGAGGTCAGGTCTCAGGTCACGATTCAGCATGACAGGTGCAGGAAGAGGTCAGGTCTCAGTTCACTAGGGAGCATGACAGGTGCAGGAAGAGGTCAGGTCTCAGGTCACTCGACAGGCTAGGGGATGAGTCTTAAGTGTTAAAAATGGAAGGAAGTCTTGTGTGTGTGTGTGTGGTGAATATGCTTTCATACTGTATATACACTGATCATTCCTAGTCGCCTATGTATCTCTCTCTGTATTTGTATATTTTGTGTATTTCAATGTGTATATATTTGGAGATATACTCACCGTGTATACATAAATGTATACATAGATATATATTATTTCTTCTTGCCTTAGCCTCTGCATGTATGCGTATGTGTATTAAAAATATCACGTGTTTATACCATCAGGTGCAATTGCTAATTTGTGCGTATCATTGTGTATGCGTAAGTAGGAGCGTGTATTTTAGTCTGCATGTGAGTGTGTATGCATGGATGTTTCGATAAAGAAGAGGAGGAGGAGTAGGAGGATGAGGGTGGGGCAAGTGGAAGAGGAGGAGGGGGATAGAGAAGGAGGGTGGGGCAGGAGGTGGAGGAGAAGGAGGAGGGTGGGGTAGGTGATGGAGATAGAGGAGGAGGGGGAGGTGGAGGTGGAGGAGGAGGATGGGGATGAGGAGGAGGAGAAGGAGGAGGGGAAGGAGGAGGAGGAGGTAGGAGTAAGCCAGACAGACCCCACGGGCGCCACAAGCCCTCAGTGACACCCCAGCCACCAGAGAGGGAGGAGACCCCGCACTCTCATCTACCACCACTACTAACCACAACCACCAATATGTCTGAGGGTAAGTTGTGTGTACAGTATGTTAACTTATATCACTGACTGAAAAAAAAAACATTCAGCTCGACTTAACGTAAAGAAAATTAGATGATTCATGGTTTGAGATTCGGGAATCTGTTGATTGAGGTGATCGCATTATTTCTTTTTTTCTTTTTCTGCAATTTATTTATTTCCTCCCTTTGTTTTATGTTTGTAAACAAATTAAGCAACACTTTCTATTTTCTTCTTCTTCTACCTGAATGTTGGTTTATATCTGACTGCTGGTTTATATCTGACTGTTGGTTTATACCTGAGTGTTGGTTTATACCTGACTGTTGGTTTGTACCTAATTGTTGGTTTATATTTACCTGTTGGTTTATACCTGACTGTTGGTTTATATCTGAATGTTGGTTTAGACTTGACTATTGGTTTATACCTGACTGTTGGTTTATACCTGACTGTTGGTTTATATCTGAATGTTGGTTTATACCTGACTGTTGGCTTATACCTGACTGTTGGTTTATACCTGACTGTTGGTTTATATCTGACTGTTGGTTTATACCTGACAATTGGTTTATACCTGACTGTTGGTTTATACCTGACTGTTGGTTTATATCTGAATGTTGGTTTATACCTGACTGTTGGCTTATACCTGACTGTTGGTTTATACCTGACTGTTGGTTTATATCTGACTGTTGGTTTATACCTGACTGTTGGTTTATACCTGACTGTTGGTTTATATCTGACTGTTGGTTTATACTTGACTGTTGGTTTATACCTGACTGTTGGTTTATATCTGACTGTTGGTTTATACCTGACTGTTGATTTATACCTGACTGTTGGTTTATAGCTGATTATTGGTTTATACCTGACTGTTGGTTTATACCTGACTGTTGGTTTATACCTGACTGTTGGTTTATACCTGACTGTTGACTGTTGTATACCTGACCGGTTGGTTTATACCTGAGTGTTGTTTTATACCTGACTGTTGGTTTACACCTGTGTTGGTTTATACCTGACCGTTGGTTGACTGTTGGTTATACCTGACTGTTGGTTTATACCTGAGTTGGTTTACTATACTTGACTGTGGTTTACTGACTGTGGTTTAGACTTGACTGTGGTTTATACCTGACTGTTGGTTTATACCTGACTGTTGGTTTATACCTGACTGTTGGTTTATACCTGTCTGTTGATTTATACTTGACTGTTGGTTTATACCTGACTGTTGGTTTATATCTGACTGTTGGTTTATATCTGACTGTTGGTTAATATCTGACTGTTGGCTTATACGTGACTGTTGGTTTATAGCTGAATGTTGGTTTAGACTTGACTGTTGGTTTATATCTGACTGTTGGTTTATATCTGAGGGTTGATTTATATCTGACTGTTGGTTTATACCTGGCTGTTGGTTTATACCTGACTGTTAGTTTATACCTGACTTTTGTTTTATACCTGACTGTTGGTTTATACCTGACTTTTGTTTTATACCTGACTGTTGGTTTATACCTGACTGTTGGTTTATACCTGACTGTTGGTTTATACCTGACTGTTGGCTTATACCTGACTGTTGGTTTATACCTGACTGTTGGTTTATACCTGACTGTTGGCTTATACCTGACTGTTGGTTTATACCTGACTGTTGGTTTAAACTAGTGACTGGTGGCATAAAACTAACTAGGTTTTACCACACATATAGTAGAGAAGTTTGATGGCATTTCGACTCAACAAAACGGCGCAGCACCGAATAGGAACTTGACCCCTTCAATATTGTGATGGGGGGTTGTGGAGGGGGGATGGTGGTTGTTGTGGTCGCTGGGTGGGGGGTGTGGTTTAGGGGGTAGTGGAAGTTGTGGTGACTAGGGGGGTGGTGATTGTTGTGGTTGAGGGGAGACGTAAGGTGGTTGGAGGGGTAATGGTGGTAGTTGTGTTAGTTGAGGGGATGGTGGTGGTGATTGTGGTTGAGGTGTTGGTAACGTGTTTGTGTGTGTGTGTGTGTGTGTGTGTGTGTGTGTGTGTGTGTGCTTGTCTGTCCAAATCCCTTAAATACTGTCTGTCTCTCTTTCTCTCTCTTTGTCTGTCTTATTTTCTCTTTGTTTCTCCTCCAATCTCTATTAATTTTTCATTGTCTTTCCCTCATCCCTCCCTCATTCTCTCTCTGTCTCTCTTATTCTCTTTTATTCTTTGTCTCTGTCACTTGTCTCTCTCTTATTATTTCTTCCCTTTCCTCCCTCCCTCCCCCTCCTCATCCCTCCTTCACCCTCCCTCCCTCCCTCCCCCTCCCTCCTCCCTCCCTCTTCTGTCCCTCCCTTCTTATATCCCTCCTCCCTCACCACTCATTTTAAACCTCCTCACCCTCATCCCCACGACAACACTCTCATCCCTCTCATTCACCCAACTCTCCCACCCACCTCCTCGCCACCACCCACTCAACCCCACCCACCCCCTCCACCCTCGCGACCCACTCAACCCCACCCACCCCTCACCACGTTCAGGACAATGCGCATGCAGTATTGATTCGGGCAAACCGATTGTTTCCTCAATCACTAGGTAGTAGCATGAAGGCAATTTTAGATAGACGCAGACCAGAGTATGTTCTGGTGGATGATCCCGTCCTCACCAATCAACTAGAAGCTCTAATTCTCTTTATTTCAGAGTAGGGGGAAGGAGAGGGGGGGGGAGGCGTGGTGGAGGTGGTGAGGAAAGAGGGAAGGGGAGGGAGAGGGAAGGATAGAGGCTGGTTAGAGAAAACGACAATTTCATCACTTTGATTTGGTTAACCATCCTTCCAACCCCTGATATAACCCTTAACCATCCTTCCAACCCCTGATATAACCCTTAACCATCCTTCCAACCCCTGATATAACCCTTAACCATCCTTCCAACCCCTGATATAACCCTTAACCATCCTTCCAACCCCTGATATAACCCTTAACCATCCTTCCAACCCCTGATATAACCCTTAACCATCCTTCCAACCCCTGATATAACCCTTAACCATCCTTCCAACCCCTGATATAACCCTTAACCATCCTTCCAACCCCTGATATAACCCTTAACCATCCTTCCAACCCCTGATATAACCTTTAACCATCCTTCCAACCCCTGATATAACCCTTAACCATCCTTCCAACCCCTGATATAACCCTTAACCATCCTTCCAACCCCTGATATAACCTTTAACCATCCTTCCAACCCCTGATATAACCCTTAACCATCCTTCCAACCCCTGATATAACCCTTAACCATCCTTCCAACCCCTGATATAACCCTTAACCATCCTTCCAACCCCTGATATAACCCTTAACCATCCTTCCAACCCCTGATATAACTTCTGGCAATTTTCAAACGGAATGGAAAACTCGAATAACCTGAAACCATTTTTAATACCATTGTCCTTGCATGCAAATAAGATTGTCTCGTGTGCTGGGTATACAGTAGGTGTGGGTTATTTTTAATGTGACCTATATCTTATTCTTTTATAGTGTGGGATAGTGAGTGAGGTGTGAAGTTAGTGGCGTTAAACACACACACACACACACACACACACACACACACACACACACACACACACACACACACACACATACACACACACCTGTATATATGCACAGACACATAAGCATAAAATAATCATAAATAAATGTTACACGGTGAGAGAGAGAGAGAGAGAGAGAGAGAGAGAGAGAGAGAGAGAGAGAGAGAGAGAGAGAGAGAGAGAGAGAGACCCACACATTCACAGTCAGACTCAGGCAGTGCTGAAAAAAACAGACATGTAAGCTCGGTGTGACCCACTTCTGCATTACCACCTCCACCGTCACTACTGATTGACCCCAAAACAGGTCAGAGGATCCAGTTTAGTCCCTGGTAGATTAGGACTGACCTAGATTGATGCCTGACTACTGATAATGCATAAATGAGGTCGACAGCTCACTCGGCTGGTTTGGTTAGGTTAGGTTAGGTTAGGTAAGGTTAGAGTATGTTAGGTTAGGTAAGGTTAGGTTAGGCTAGGTTAGACTAATGATATCTTTGTAGACAGCACGTTATAGTACCACCCTCAGCTGACCCAATGATTTCTGTTAGGGTAGAGTACGCTACTACGATCTATCTCTCGTATGTGAAGAGAAATAAAACAGATACGAACCATTGAGAATCTACCCTTCTCTCGTAACTTAAGGTAGTCAGTTTATTGCGTTCTCACATCTTCGCTTCAGTTAGTAGAAAAAATTACAGTTAGGAACTTTTAAGAATGTAGGTCACGTTAGATAATAACACAAAGAACATCTCAGGTATACTCGACATTGATTACCTTTCCTAGTTCAGATTCTCGGACGTTCGTTATTTAATATTATTTTTTCTCGTAACTGTTGACTTAAGACTACGAAACCCCTTGAGTACGATTATTTAACCCCGTAAGTATGATGACTTAAACTCTTGATTACGATTACTTAATACAAAGATGACGACGAAAGAGGAGTTGAAATTACAGCTGGATTCTGGTGTAATTGGAGGCGGCCTTCTGTCGTATTTCGTTATGAGGACAAGTGTGACGCCATCTTTGAGAGTGTGGTGGTGGAATACTGCCCTGATGGTGATACTACTACTACTACTACTACTACTACTACTACTACTACTTTTTTATAATGGCCTCCATCCTCCCCTTATAGCCATACCTTCGCCGCCATTTGATTATCTTAAAATTAAATATCCTAATACATAAGTAGCTACACTAGCTGTGTTGAGTTAGTTACTACAACTACTACTACTGCTACTACTACTACTACACGTCCCTTTCCCTCTGTCTACCTACTACTACTACTACCACTACTACTACTACTTTTTTTTAAACTGTATGGAACGTGGCCTACAGCCTCCCCCAATAGCCACACCTTCGCCACCATTTTATTACCTTAAAATTAACTATCCTAATACATAAGTAGCTATCCTTCTACTACTACTACTGCCTCCTTGTGTGCTGAATGCTTGTGGGACTCCCTATTATAGCCACTTCGAGAAACGTGAAAATTG